CCCCAAAACCCCAAAACCCCAAAACCCCAAAACCCCAAAACCCCATTGTTTTCTAAATAAACTCTAGCAGTTGTTTTACAAATAAGTTTGAATTATATATACTCCCACCAAAGGGTTCTCCTTGGCAAAAAATTAGGACATAGATCCTTCATCTTTCTTATAAAAATCTATTTTCTGTTTCTTCTCTTTTTCCTTCTTCTTTTGCTTTTTCTTGCCTAGTTTGACTAAGGTCTCAGACATTGATGAGAAGCCATCGATATAAATATTTGGAAGGTTATTTGAATGCACATTCTCGCTTAAACTTTTCCATAGTCTCTCGAATTGACTTGGATGCACCTTCTTCAACTTATCAAATCCTGGCTTTCCATTATTTTTGTTCAAATCTCCATGGTAGTTATTACAAATCTTAAGTTCTTTCATTTGCAAGGTCTATGTTTAAGAAGTTTGGTTACCTTTTCAAGAAGTACAAATTCCTCAAAATCTTCAGACAACTCTTTTGTGTATAATTCCTTTCCTATAGAAATGATAATTCGGAAGTACAATTTAGCTGAACTCTGTTCTTATCTAGGATGCATCACCCATTAATTAAGATTCGCCCCAATTTCTTTCCTGCCTTCAAGATCAGATTAAGCTGAGAAGAATGCAGTTGAAATTTAGAAATAGAGAGCGTCTTATTAACTTTTGTTTCAATAAATTGGCATAAATATTTGCAGAAAACAGGAGTCATTTTAGGAAACATATCTTTTTCCTTCCAGTTGAGGCTATAAATTAGCAATGCTAGCATACTCTAATCTCTCTACATTCTTTATCAGAGGGTTTCTAAATATCTGAATGAGTTCTCTCATCCCATAACTTCAGAATGATATCGCAATCACCTTAATGTTTTCACATTGCTCTTTAGTCAATACTTGGATACTATTTAAGCTTTCTTTTTCCTCCTCTTCTGTTGCATTTTGGCAAGACTCCTTATCTTTCAGGACCTGCCAGTTTATCAAGAATGAAGTCCCTTCTGCCTTACTCCTATAGATGTTAAATTTTGCCATTACTTTCTTTTGGGAGGCGTGTATAATGGGAAATTGAGCTCTAAGTAATCAGCAATCCTTCGTTCATCCGGCACTTGGTCAGAAAGATCCCCACAATATTTTCTCTTAGCATCAAAATAGAAATCTGGATAATCGTACCTCAATTCTGTAAGGTTAGGATGATGGTCACAGATCTGTTCCTGAGTTGTAAAAGCCTCTTGGACAGACTGAAGGCTGTAAACGAGATCTCAGCTCTTAGTAGAAATCTCCTCCATCCTATACCTTAAAAACTCCTAATTTACATCTTTTTGTTTTCTTCTTGCTCAGACTCGGCTTCAGTCTTCTGATCTTCTATTATTCTTTGAAGATCTCTTTGCACCATTATTTCGTGATCTTTAGCTAATTTAGCAATTTTAGGATCCTTCTTAATTTTCTTAAGAAGCCCATGGATGCTATCTCTTATTGTTTTTCATAAGTAGTCTTCACTTCCATAAAATTCTTAACTTTCTTCTGCCGTATCTCTGATGATTCATCCACAGATAGGAGCACCTATAGATAATGTATCTTTCAGCAAGACTTTAGAGCTAGAGTAGATTTGCTTTGCGATTTTAAAAAAATCAGGAATCAATTAACTGCTGAGCTGCACAAATCTTACCTTCTTAACCAAGTTTTGATAGAGCTAAATGTATTAATTAGTAACTTACTCTATAAAAGTTTTCAGATTCCTTCCAGAGTAATTCAATCTGGGCTCTCATCTCAGGCCTTGTGCGCAAAACATGCGTCAGATACAGCTATATGGTTGATGTTATTTAAGGAATAGGAAGATAGAAATTCCAATAGCTTTTGTTCACAAATTTCTAATATTCTGGAACGATGAGAATTTCAAAATTTAAACCTGGATTAGAAAACAATACTACTGAGATTTTTATGCATACCTGTCTTTTGAAAATTTGTTCCCTTATCCTTGTAAAACCTTTATTCAATTGCTGAAAGAGAAATTAAAATTCTTGAAACACTTATTAGACCATAATGAGGAATAAATCTCACCTGAACTGGATCAACGAATAGCTCAGTAGAAGAGTGTGTTTCAATCTCAAGCTCTTCTTTAATCTCCTTAACACATTTTCTTCAGAAGAATAACTTTTTGTTCCACTCTTCTCTCGAAGACTGCTCTAAATATGTGACTGCTTTGATTTCTATTGGGTTTGCCATGCAAATCTGGCAGTATTGCCCACTCAGAATATTAACACAGGAGCGCATTAACTTCCTTGCAGGGATTATCATACTTTTATCATGTTCAATATCGATATAATAACCCCATTTAAGTTTTCCCAAAAATCTTTGCTGCTTCTCTTTCAGTCTATAAAATGGAAATCATTAGGAATTTTAGGTGAATTTTGAAATAACTTTGCTATCAGAGAGAATGTGAGGTAGAGTATTATTCGCTTTATACTTTAAAAATTACTTTTATTGCCAAGATAAAAATTCTCTGGAATTTTATGGAAAATATGGTTTTAACTTTCAGCTCAATATCTAAGTTGATGGAAATAGCAATAATATGCCATCTCGCATTTTAAAACTAACCTATAACTAGGAGACATTTCTGATTGTCCAAATTGCTCCATTTATATTAATTATTTTTCATACAACATATAACGCAATTAATGGGGTTTTGGGGTTTTGGGGTTTTGGGGTTTTGGGGTTTTGGGG